AGAGAACGCGAGAGAGAGCGAGAGAGAGCGAGAGAGAGAGAGCGAGAGAGAGCGAGAGAGAGAGAGCGAGAGAAGCGAAAGAAAGCGAGAGAGAGCGGGAGAGAACGAGAGAGAGCGAGAGCGAGAGAAAGCGAAAAAAACCGAGAGAGAGTGAGAGAAGACGAGAGGGAGCGAGAGAGAGCGAGAGAGGCCGAGAGAACGCGAGAGAGAGCGGGAGAGAGCGAGAGAGACCGGAAGAAAGCGAGAGAGCGAGAGAGAACGAGAGAAGGCGAGAAACAGCGAGAGAAAGTGAGAAAGAGCGAAAAAACCGAGAGAGAGCGAGAGACGACGAGAGAGAGCGAGAGAACGCGAGAGAGAGTGGGAGAGAGCGAGAGAACGCGAGAGAGAGCGGCAGAGAGCGAGAGAACGCGAGAGAGCGGTAGAGAGCAAGAGAGAGCGAGAGACAGCGAGAGAAAGCGAGAGAGGGCGAGAGAGAGCGAAAAAAGACGTGGGAAAGCAAGAGAGAAAGGGTGAAAGAGGGGGGAGAGAGAGGAGAGAGAGAGAGAGAGGGGAGAGAGAGAGAGAGAGAGAGTGAGAGAGAGCAAGAATTTATTTTTTGTTTGGTTGCTTAAAAGGTTAAGCAGCTGAGGAAAATGTCACTATACTAGGATGGGTGACCGCGGATAAGGTAAAGCAGCTTCGGACAGAATCACTTTGTCGGGATGGGTGATCGGGACAAGTACGACGCCGTATCTTAAAAAAAAGTGACACCTTTTCGACCAAAAAATAACTTGAAAAATTCATATCTCCGCAACCAATAGAGCTATCAAGTTCCTTAAGGTCTCATTTTACTCGGAAAAAATCGCGCTTTCGATTGATATGGTCATCTTTTGAAAAATATGTTTCCGTTCATGAAATATTTCAAATTTTTGTTTTCAAGGTTACGAAAATCGTGTTACGTCCGGTAAAGGATACACAGTAGCGTCCTACGGATAATTTTCGCTATTGTTTCGATATTTTCGCTATCTTTTCGATATCTTTCGATATTTTTTTTTGTTTTTTTGTAGATTGTATTTTAATTTGACGAATAAAAGATATAACTTAGCGAGACGCTACCGCGTCTCCTGATATACTCGTACCTACTAAAAAATACCTAAACTATTATTTGCAATTATATTATATTTTATATTATTCTTGCATATGAATCAATGGCATGATGATAAAACCATCGTCGTAAGGAAATTTCACACATTTCCCTTTAATGTCGTGAATATTGACTGTGTACAAATCATATGACAAATGTTGTGTTTGCTGAATATTAAATAATTCTGAGGAACAAGGTGAACTGAAAAATGGTTTTGATTCAATGAATTTTCTTCCCTTTAAAAAGATTTCTGAAGTCTTGATTTCTTTATAAATACTTTCGACACAAAATACACAATTGTTTTTTAACATAACGCAATTATCTTTATCACATGTGCTTAGTTCAAACTTTTCAATGATTACTGTTTTGTAGAATATAAAATCTTGTTTATGAAATTGATCAGTACATTGCTGACGTAAAATTGGATACGTTTTTTCATTATCATTGTTTTGCATATATTCTTGTTCTTTTAACCTATTACAAATTTGTTGTAAAGGATTTCTTGTAGCTTGAATTGTTTTTTTTATCTCAAATAAATAATTTTCATATTTAAAACAACTGAAAGTGTCAAGTGGACCATGTTGCAAGCAATCTATGGGCAAATGTATAAGGCCATGAACATTATGAGTAATATATTCTTTTCCGTAAAGTATTGCATATTTTTGAACAAAGTATTCGAGTAGTTTCAATGAATAATTATTATAAATTCTGTATAATGCAGGACTGCATAAAATTCGAATAGCGCAGGATAAGGCCATGAAATGTGTGTATATATTTTTGTTTGCAATCTTTTTTAAAACAATTGGTCCGGTGTATAATAAAAATTGCCTTAATTCAGTGGCTTTATAGTATTCAATGTCCTCTAAACTTCTTGGCAAGCGTGGAAAATCTTTCGGCACATAATTCTTCAAAAACAATAATTGATTATTAATATCATTTTTATCAGTCTCGGGTAAACGATGATTTTTTTTCCCTCTTATCCAAAACATAATTAATCTTTTAACTACGCCTAGAAATACAAGATGCATGCCATCGAGAGGAACTTGAGATACGAAACCAATATTTAGCTTTTCGAAAGGACTTGTATCTTTATGGAATTCCTCATCTAATTTATTTCTGATACTGAAATCAGTCCGCAATTGTGCATTTGTTTGTAAAAAAGTCATTCTTCCATTAACAAAGGTCCCTTCTTGAATGCATTTTGTGCAGGCATTATAGCCTGTATGACCTTTAATACATAAAATAAATGATTTTGCAGGAGCATCACAAAGAAGTTTACCAACCTTTACTTTTATTATTTTTTTATTTATGTTAAAACCATTTTGTTCTAAATGTTTGAACTCTGTTATAAACTCAGTTAAAAATTGGTCTACATAGGCTGGTTTCTTGTGTCCGTGATATATCCCAGCCGCAAAAGGTTTTTTAATATTTTTATCAACCAGATTTAGATCTATGGAGATAAGAATAGGCCAGAGTTGACTTTTTGAAGAATTAGATATCGGTAAACCATCAATGTTTATGTTAAGAGGTAATACTATTTCTACATTTTGCATCAAATGTTTTTGCATATTTAAACTATTATTAATTATCCTACGTAGTCCATTCTCTATGCCAATGTGACAATAGAAACCTGGAGGAACACTTTTAAGTTCATATGGACATGAACTTGGTGTTTTTAAAAGAGTTCGCGAGTCTTTTGCTAATTGTGGAAATATCACTCGTAGAATACCCAACAATTCATTCATGGCAGATTGACTAAGCAAATGTCTGTATTTTAAAAACCATTGTTTCACAGCGTTAACTATGAAATCATTTACAATAGGGAGATTATTACATAAATTTTCAAATGATAAAGAAGTATCTGAACAGTTAATTTCTTCAATCACATCAATATATTCCAATGGTTCAATCTCAATTTTTTCTGGAATCTCGGGAATCACATTATCATGGTTTTCACATTGTTCTTGTTTTTCATTATGTTTCTTTGCAGTATCTACATTTATATTTGTAGTATTTACATTTATGACAGTATCTACATTTATAATTGTTTTTATGTTATTAGGCAAATTATTCGTCTGAATTAATTGTCGATTCAACTGCAAGATGTGTATTAATTCTTTTTTTACCATCCGTCTCATATGACGTTTTGTAACAAAACATTTTTTTATTTTAGCCATTATTGTTTTAATTTTTATGTCAGTATTGCTATTATTGACTTGATAAAAAAATCACTGAAAAAATTAAAATCATTCACATGAGATGCTCATATAGTTAATACGTAGTTTTTAAGATTTTATGGTATTTAACGTTATTAAAATAATATATATATACACAATATATACTTACATGGCAGGAATCTCGAACGTCACCAACAGGCAGATCCATTGCTTCCAGTTATAAATAAAGATGAATTTAAAATTTAATTATAAAACGACTTATAAAACCTCCAATAAAGCCCAACAAACACAATTGTCTTATTATTATATTTGGGTATTCTTATTCACATACGAAAGCTCCTGAGACGAAACGCCGCGCTCCCTAGTTACGCGTATCAACTCGTTGCTAACGAACGAGCGGTGATTATTATAGATTCCTAAAACATTCTTGGAACATGTATGAGATATTTGTGGTATAGTAAATATGTTACAATAGATTTTTTTTAAGTCACCACGAGTGAAATATTTTTTTCGACTGTCGCAAAGATAAATTGAGTACATATATGTATAAAACACGATTATTTATAAATATTTCAATTAAATTTTTAAATAAAAATATGAAACTATACTTTTGTTTACTTAACTATGTTTTGCATGTGTTCGCGAACGCGCTGCGTGAACAAAGGATCGCGCTGCACAAAGGCTGAGTCACTTTTTTGTAAAACAAAGACTTTAATAATATCACACACGTATTGACAAAATACTATAACAACTTATTACAAAACCTTAATTATCTTTACAGTGAAATCGGAATCAAAAAATCAAAATGCGGAATAGCGGCGGTCGTCAACGAATTTTGCGGTTTATCTGATAAGCGGTTTGCGATATGTTTTCACGACGGAAAAGCGATAAAGCTGGCAAGCGGGGTGAGAGCTCCTCATTTATAATTTCCGGAGCGGAGCCCACCTTCGTGTGACGCGCCAATAATTTTGCGTCTTTTTAAAGTTGCGCGAGGTGACCTGAGCGTATTACGCGTAATTGGCCGCTGTCAAATTTGACAGAACAACGGCTGTTAGAAAGCATGCGCGAGCTGGCAATCACGATGATTATTGGCGAAACGAGGCGCCCGTGAGAAGCCGCGCATGCTCAAGAAAATATAATTATTCGGCGGAACGGTTGCGACACCGTTAATTGTTTATATTTCGAGCGTGTTTTTATACGACAGGATAATTTGTGTCGCGATATGTTTTCCAGAAAAAAACATATAAAAAACGATATGCCTGTTGACTTGCGATCGGAAGCGAATATTCTAGAATATTCCATTTAAAAATATAATATTTTATTACACAAGTAGTTTTCTATTATGCGTTTCAAACATTCCCGCCCGCCTTGTCGCACAGTGACAACATATTGTGGTATTTCGGTCGCGGAATCGCAAGTCGATAGTGATCGATGGTGGGGCAGGCGCGTCGGCGCGGCGAGGTTCACGTGATGATCGCGTGTAAAGTGAATTGATCAGCTGAGCCGCGGAAACACGTGGTGATCACGTGTTGCGAATCGATCAGCTGAAACGGCGAAAGTATGTGGCAGATGTGAACGGCGAGTGACCGATGCAGTGAGCGGTGAAAACGAGACAAGTGTTATAGTGAGGTGGTGAGTGAAATGAGTGAAGCGTGACAGTTGATATGGTGCATGACGTGATGATCGTGTAGTGAGTGATGCTATGCGTCAACGTGCGGTGTAGGAACGTCGTTCACGCCCGGAAGAAACACGAGCTTGACGAGTGGGCGCACGAGCTCGGACGTGGCCGTTCGGATCGTCACTACGCGTGTAACTCCATCGTCCCCGGGATGCAAACGCGATATGCGAGCGAGGGGCCATCGGTTCGGGGGGGTGATCTCGGAGCGAACGAGGCAGAGATCGCCGACGTGGGGTGCAGGTGCATCCTTGAGCCACTTGGTGCGTGGGGCGAGTCCGTGCATGTATTCGGATGACCATCGCTGCCAGAAGTGATCCCTCATCCGCTGCAGATGACGCCAACGTGACAAGGTGGACACCGTCTGCTCTGTCAATGACGGTTCTGACAAGGCGAGGAGCGGTGTCCCGATGAGGAAGTGACCGGGGGTCAGCGCCGAAACGTCCTCTGGATCATCTGAGAGTGCCTGCAACGGACGTGAGTTAAGACAGGCTTCAATTTGTGCAAGGAGTGTGCTCAACTCCTCGAACGTGAGGGTGGTCGCGCCGATCACCCGACGGAGGTGGAACTTGGTCGACTTTACGGCGGCCTCCCATAAACCACCAAAATGCGGGGCCGCTGGCGGGTTGAAGTGCCAGCGGATTCCTTGAGCGGTGGCGGCAAGGATGACACTTTGACCTTCGGCTGTCGCTGCGTTGAAGAGACCTCGCAGCGTCCGGTCTGCTCCGATGAAAGTCGTGCCACAGTCGCTGTAGATCTCAGCACACAGGCCCCTGCGGGAGACGAAGCGGCGCAGAGCGGCGATGAAGGCCTCCGAGGTGTAGTCTGAGACGACTTCTAAGTGAACGGCCTTTGACCAGAAGCAGACGAAGACTGCGATGTACCCCTTGTGCGCACGGTGTCCACGCCCCTTGCTGGTCCGGAGGAGGATTGGTCCCGCGTAGTCCAAGCCGGTGCTGAGGAACGGTCGAGTTGGCGTTACTCGCTCCCGAGGAAGGTTACCCATCGGAGGCTGTGGTGTGGCGGCGCGCCATCGAGTGCAGGTTATGCATCGGTGTAGCTGCTGTTTGACGGTAGTCCTTCCTCGAGGCACCCAGAAGCGCAGGCGGAGCAGGCCGAGAGTCAGTTGCACACCTCCGTGCAGCGTCCGTCGGTGGCAGGAATCGATCACCAGCCGAGTCAACCATGATGCCGCCGGGATGATCATTGGATGTTTCTCGTCGAGTGGTAGCTGAGCATGTTTGAGACGTCCTCCGACGCGCAGCACGCCTTGATCATCGAGGACCGGACTCAACATCGCTAGGTGGCTTCGTGGTGGGCTAGTGCGTCCAGCAGAAGCCGCAGCTACGTCCGTAGGAAAGTGGAGCGCCTGCACCACTCGCAGCCATCGAAATAAGGCGACGTCCAGCTCGTCCGGATGCAATAGACGGCCAGGTATGGCGTCACGTCTCGCCTTATTGAGCCATCGCCGACACCATGCCGTAACCCGCAGCAGCCTGTGCAGCGTTGGAAATCGGAGGAGGAGGTCAGGTTCTGCCGAGACCGGTGCCTTGATTACCAGACCGGTGGCTCGCTGCTCCGGGAGGTCATCCTCTGGGACGTCGATGTTTGAACCCGGCCATGCAGTCTCGTCTCCTGAGAGCCAGGTAGGTCCTGTCCACCACAACTCATGATTGATTAATTCAGCAGGAGTAACACCGCGCGATGCGCAATCTGCAGGATTCTCTCGTCCAGCGACGTGTCTCCATTGAGCGTCTGGAAGCAGGGTCTGGATCTGAGATACTCGGTTGGCGACGAAGGTTTTCCAACGAGTGCTGTGTCCGCGGATCCAATGAAGTGTGACCCTTGAATCTGACCACAGATGCACCGGCGTCGTTGTCAAACCGAGAGTAGCGCGCACGTGGAGCATGAGCGTGGTAAGTAGAGCTGCTGCACAGAGTTCCAAGCGAGGTAACGACACCTGCTTGACAGGCGCGACCTTCGATTTTGCCATCAATAGGTTGATTGACGTTTTTTCTGTTGCAGCGTTGCGGATGTACACCACGGCGGCGTATCCTCGCTCTGAAGCGTCGGCAAACCCATGGAGCTGCAGTTGCGAATGGTCGTCTCCGGTGCTGAGCCAACGATCCACACGGATGTGATCCAGCAACGGAAGTTGATTCAGCAGTTGTCTCCAGCGGTGTGCGTCCTGATCAGGCAGCGGAGAGTCCCAATCCAGCCGTTGAAGCCACGTAGACTGGATCAGAATTTTGGCTCGGATGACGACAGGCGCTAGCCAGCCCATTGGATCGAATAGTCGAGCTGTCTCGGCCAAGACTCGTCTCTTCGTGAGGTCGGTGGTTGAACGCGGACGTATGGTGAAGGAGAACCAATCCCCTTGAGGATGCCATCGAAGACCCAGGGTGGCGTGGCTCTCTCCTTCCCACGAGCGCGGTCCGCGTTGAAGCCGATGTTCCGGCGGAATTCCGGTGAGCACCTGCTGGTTGTTGGCAGCCCACTTTCGCAAAGGAAACCCGCCCGCCGTGCAAAGACTCCGTAGTTCCTGCTGAAGGTCGATAGCATCTTCCAAGCTATCGGCGCCGGTGACCACGTCGTCGACGTAGCAGTCGTGTCGCAGTGCCTTGACTCCGCGTGGATATCGTGCCTCTTCGTCTGCTGCGAGTTGATGAAGAGTCCTGATGGCGAGGAAGGGTGCACACGCTAGCCCATAGGTCACGGTCCTCAGCTCGTACTCGTGGACGTCGTCAGAGCTGTTGTGGCGCCACAGGATAGTTTGCAGGCGACAGTCCTCCGGATGCACGAGGATTTGTCGGTACATTTTCTCGATGTCCGTGACGAGCACGAACCGATGCCAACGCCAACGAAGTAGGACGTCAGCGAGTGCTGGCAAGAGATTGGCTCCAGTGAGGAGGTGCGAGTTCAGCGACTCTCCGGACCGTGTGCGTTGGGAGCCGTTGAACACAACCCTGAGCTTCGTGGTCGTGCTCGACTCCTTGAGGACCCCGTGATGCGGTAAGTAGCACCTGGGACCAGAACCTGTCGTAAACGTACTAACCTTCTCCATGTGTTGCAGGTTTTCGTATTCATCCATGAAGTCTCGATAGAGATCACCGAACCGACGATCTCGTGCTCCTTTCCGCTCCATGGCATCCAGTAGGCGTTCAGCAGGTCGACGAGTCTCGCTGAGCGATGTCGGCGGCGGTGAAGTAAATGGCAGCCTCACCATGTATCGTCCACTGGACGTGCGTGTGACCGTGCGCACGAAACGTTAAACAAAAACTATTTTCAAAATATTATAAATTTATAAAATATTAAAAATTCAGTGATTTATTAATGTATACGTACTTTATTTATTAATGTATATATACGTACCTTATTTATATTAATGTATATATATACGTACCTGATATTTACTAAAAAGCTTTTGTGTTATTATTTCAAAAACGTTGATGTAACACAATTGTACAAAAACAATTGTACAAACACAAATATATAAAATCTGCAATGCAGTGTAATATTTTTGAATATGTTACAAAGTAAATGTTTCATATAAAACGTTCATAGAATATTATGAAATTAAATGTTTCAGGAATGTCACAAATGTAACATTGCTGTAATGTCTCTGAACGTTACAAACTAAACATCCCAAATGAAACGTTTATGGAATGTTTTAAAATATATGTTTTATGAACGTAGCAAATGTAACATTGCTGTCATGTCTCTAAGGTTACAAACTAAACATCCCAAATGAAACGTTTATGGAATGTTTTAAAATACATGTTTTATGAACGTCGCAAATGTAACAATGCTGTAATGTCTCTGAACGTTACAAACTGAACATCCCAAATGAAATGTTTCTAGGATGTTGCCAAACATTTCTTTCCTAACATTTCAAATTATCGATATAACAGCCAAAATGTTACATTTCTGGAACAGTGCATGAATGTTGCAATTGAAATGTTATTTTGAAACGTTTACGAAACATTTCATAAACATATTTATGTAACGTTTCAAATTTGCAATATTATTGCCGAAATGTAACATCCCCTGTATGTTTCATGTTTAGCGGGTATATATATATATAATTTTTCTTTATAAAATCAATAAAATCAATGTTTACAAGCAACTATTATAATAAATATATATATTTAAAATACATTTAATATATATAATTTTGATTTAAACACCCTTTATACTGCGCATGATGCAACACGCCTTAACCGAACAAATATTTTGGAAAATCGTTCGTTTATATACAAACAGCAAGTGAGTAATACAATATAGAATATAATATAAAAAAAATAAAATTACATAACTTAAATAATGTATAATAATAGAAGTTTTATAAAATGTCCCTTAATTTTCTTGCTTCTTCTGACATTATTTCATAATGGTGTTTTTTAGTTTTACAATTCCGCTATTTTTCTCGTTTTTCTACTATATTTATTTTTAATTTCATTATTTTTACTATGAAAACCGCTTTTGTAGAAAGAAGTTGTTGATTTATCGTTGTCTCTCTTTCATATGCAGATTCATTGTTGTTTTGTTTATTTTTGTTTCATAATTTGTTATTTTTTGAAAATAATTTTTAAAATTATTTTTATTCTTTTTATTATTTCCCTTATTTATATATATGTATATTGTCCATAATTCTTGCGCTGTTCACATCAATTTAATTAAAAATTTTTGAACACTGTGTTATATCACATTTAAAATTGTGATTATTTCAATAAAAAAACATTTTATGTGTAAAAAATATATTTTTTATATTTAATAAATTTTATATATATATATATATATATGCATATGTAAAATATTCTTTTTCTCTTTCTCTCTCTCTCTCTCTCTCTCTCACACACACACACACACACACACACACACAACGGGGGCCAAATCTCTCAAATTGGTCTCATGATCAATTAGCCTGGATTCGCACCAGGAGCAAAGTCTGTTGGTAATGTCAAACGAATTTAGCCTGGACTTGCACCAGGGGCAAAGTCTTTTGGTCGAGTCTACGAAATTTAGCACGGACTCGAACCAGGGGCAAAGTCTTTTGGTTCAAGTCTACGAAATTTAGCACGGATTCGAACCAGGGGCAAAGTGTGTCGGTAAGGGGCAAAGTCTATCGCACGAAGATGGCGGTCTCTTCTTTAGGCAGGCCTTTGGCGATCTGTCTATTAATCTGTGTCGAGAGAGTCACAGAGAGATGCACGACGCGTACGCGTGATAGCGGCGTGCGCTGTCGTTTGCACTGTGGTCTGCGAGAGTCAAAAGTCAGTGAGAAAAAAATGCACTGGTTAAGATTCACCGGTGCGGTGCGCGTGATAGCGGCGCACGCTCACTGAGAGTCACTGTTAATCAATATAAGTCACGATTAATCATTGAGAGTCACTGCGATTATCGTAACGCAAAGCGCGTGCTTGCGGCGCTTGCGGATAACTCGCGAATGTTCACCGCACTCAATTAAGAAAATCACTGGTGCGTGATAGCGGAGTACGCGTGAAGTCATTAATCTCGAACGGCGTTTAACTGCCGTCCGAATGCAAAATTGCAAAGCGCGTGATAGCGGCGCTTGCACTGCAAGTGACACTTCAACGAAATTCTGACTACTCAAATGCAGAATTCGATGTACACCGGATACGTGAGGGTGCGTGACCGTCACGTGGCCGGAGCGCCGCGGCTTAGGCCGGAGCGACGGCAGGCGCGCGATCGAGAGAGCCGCAGCTAGAGAGAGAGAGAGCGAGAGAGAGAGCTTCGGAGCGCGCGGCGTGATATCGTCTCTCTCGCTCTTCGCGTCTTGGAGAGAGCGCGAGAGAGAGAGAGAGAGAGAGAGAGAGAGATCTTCGGAACGCGCGCGACGGTGATCCGTCTCTCTCGCTCTTCGCGTCTTCGAGAGAGAACGAGAGAGAGAGAGAGAGAGAGAGAGAGAGAGACTGTTTCGGAGCGCGCGCGACGGCTAATTGTTGTGTAGCGCGGTCTCACTCCCGCACACGAAGTCTTTCTACTCCAAACGAGAACGCGTAATTAGCGGATTTCTCGTGCCGCGGATCACTGCGTTTTTAACTTTACTGCCCCGATATAGGCACACGAAGCAGAAATTGTCAATCGTTCGAATAAGGTACGAAACAAAGGAGCCCGTTCTTTTCGCGATTTCACTATCACTCGATCGGTTTTTAAAATCCGGCTCGAAGGACCATTTTATATGTATAAGATTTAACGTTGTAGGATGCCGGGTTAACGTGATCAAATGATTGTACGCGTTTTGAAACGGTTTAAATTAGTTTAACGTATAAGACGGGCAACAAGAGCCAAATCGCGGATGACAATGCGTTATCCTAACGAAACTAAATAATTTTCCGTTAGAATTAAATACCGGTGCACAAGGCACCAAATTTTACTTGGACACGGCCAAGATTTTAAAATATGAAATAATCTCATATTTGAGATTTAATTTCAATACCCCCTTTTTTTTTTTTTTTTTTTTTTAACCCCCCTACGGAAATTAAATAAATGAATGCAAGAGAAAAATATAGATCCGAAAATCGCTGAATCGGGAATCCCCGATTTTCGGATCTATATGTTTCTCTTGCATTCATTTATTTAATTTCCGTAGGGGGGTTAAAAAAAAAGGGGGTATTAAAATTAAATCTCAAATATGAGATTATTTTATATTTTAAAATCTTGGCCGTGTCCAAGTAAAATTTGGTGCCTTGTGCACCGGTATTTAATTCTAACGGAAAATTATTTAGTTTCGTTAGGATAACGCATTGTCATCCGCGATTTGGCTCTTGTTGCCCGTCTTATACGTTAAATTTATATTTATATTACAGAGCCTTGTTAAAACTCTTATAAATTAGTTTATTCACTTTCTACAAGTTCGTCGCGTACCGAGACTTATGTTTCTCGGCGCTCGCTCTCTCGAGGACTGACTCGAGGGCTGCGCGAATTTCGGAGCTCGCGTAGGGCGGCAGCCGATCGGGGTCCTCGATTGGACCATCAGAAAATCAGGCGATGTACACACGCCAATTAGCGGCGAGTGTACACGTTGGTTTCACGTGTTTCCTTGGCGTAAACACTAAGGAATTTAACAAAAAAACATTCTAGAAAATTCGATCGTCCTCGAGGATTCGATCCGAAGAACGAATCTTCAACAATGTGGAAAGAATTTTATTAGAATTTCTCTACTATTTATTATGTTAAAAATAATAATATGTATCACAAGAAAATATAAAATATGTTTGATTAATTTTACTATACAGTTTAGTAAAATTAATCACACATATTTCATATTTTATTGTGATAGATATTATTTTTAATGTGATAAATATTAATCAGAGAAATTTTAATAAAATTCTTTTCATACCGTATTGTCTCACAATTACCATAACTTTTAGGGTAAATTTTAAGAGAAAATTCTCTCAGTGTACCGATTAATTATTAAAAATTACTTGTAAAAAGGCACACGTTACTCGATGCGGACGACAATTGTTTACACGGCAAGGACACGACAACAGACTGCGGCGACGGATGACGCAACGCGTCGCGACGCTTCGCGACACGTCTAGACGATAACAATCACGCGGCGTTGCCGAACATGTGATTGACGCGAGACATGTATTAAAACGTATAATAATTATGTTATTAAAAAAGGCATATTATAACGTATTATAATTTTTTACGTTATAATACATTTTTTTTAATGACTTAACATTATCCGCCCGTTTTGCCCTTTCTTTTTAAACGAGACGTGAGAAAAATGATTATGTTTTGCGAACAAGATGTTCCATGTATAAATGTATTGGTCGCTCTTTTCAGAGC